TGACAAAATTTTTGTTAAAATATTTGTGTTGTAATTATATAAATATCGTTTTTATTTAATATCAATTTTAATAATTAATAACTAAATTTTGCATCATAATTGCATTTGTAACGAATGTTTTTTTGTAACGAATAAAATTGTTATAAATAACTTGTTAACAATGTCAATTTTTTTTTATCACTATAAAATTATTTTTTGTGACAGGTACTTAATTTGTCATTAAGAGCATTAGTGACAAGGGTTTTACTAACGGTTTAAATTTTATCACTAATAATAATTTGTGACGAAAAATAAACATTTAATGATCAATAATTTAGTCACTAAATATGAATTTTCTTGTAGCGTATGTTTATGCAAGTGCCTTATTTCACTGCTTTATGAGGTTTTAACTTAGAAAGTATGACTATTTTTATTTTGCAATTATGATACCTATGGAAAATCAGTTGAGTTTGTTTTGGACAATATCTATTAGTATTATCTATGGTATTGCTGTTGGTTTTGGTTTTATGTTTAAAATGTTGTTCAGCTGGTGTAACATTGTTAGGATTGGATTTGAGTTTGACTCACTATGATTTGTGTTGTTTTACTTCAGATGCTTGTTGATGATATTGGTGATGTAGGAACTAGAAAAGCAGCCCGCGTGGGTCGCGCCGTGCTCCACAGGTCCACCAGAGCACCACCCCCCGACGAATCAGCATCATCGCCGTCACTAAAGCAACCAATCATCGAACGGTCAGCAGTGAATAAATTAAGAATCAGAGCTTTCTAATGTGCCTTTGGCTTAAGCAATTGAGATGAGACCTCCAATGTCCTTCATTGAAAAATCCTCGATTCCCTACGGAAGATGCATTCTACTTTTTGGATTCTGATTTGCATGATTTTGTACTAGTTATTCATTTTGCCCATATTAAATTGTTCAACCTCTATTTTAAAAACTTTAAACTGATAGACATTTAGAAAAAATTTGTGAGTCAATTCTGTAAAATAAATTAATTAAGAAATGTAGGGCCACATTTCGATTTTGGTTAAAGCGCTGGTAACGCATGCTCCTATCCCATTAGATTATTTCTTTGGAAAAAAAAAGTTATACAGCGTAAATTACGAAAGAATTCATTTTTTTAGTAGTACCATATTTTTTATGAATGAAAACTTTTTTTGCTTCAAGATACCACTAGTTTAGAATTTCTTTTAGACTAAATCTTTTAAAATTAAAATCAACATTAAATTTTGATTAATTTGAGGTTAAAATTAAATTAAATTTCATAAAAAAAATTTTAACATCTATCTTTTAATTTACAAATTTTAAATTCTAAAATCTTATTTAAAAACACTTTTTTTTAGTTGAACTAATAGGTTATTAGTAGTTTAAATTATTTTGTTATTATTCTTTTCTCTCTTTTTTTTTTACTACCATATTTCTTAATGAACGAAAACTTTTTTGGCTAGAAGATACCGCTAAGTTTAGAGATTTTTTTTTACTAAATCCTCCATTATTCAAAAAATACATTGAGTTTTGATTAATTTAGATAAAATAAAAATGATTGAAATTAATTTTGATTTGAGTATGGTTATTAATGTATATTTGAAATTACTAATGTTATCTATCAAATTATTTAAAATTTTTTAATATGAATTTATTTTATTTTTTATTTTGGTTTTAGTGTTAAATGAAAATTTTTTGAATAAAATTCTTTTTTT